ATCGGTGTGCTTCGTTCAGTTACATTGCTGAAATTTCGCAGACGTTATTGTCTTGCTGAGCACAGACATTCAAGAACTGAACACCATGCTAAACGAACTAAATGACCAATCCCAGAAAATTGGCCTTAAAATGAACTTGAAGTAGACCAAGATAATGAGCAGCAATATCCATAACATTACCGTAGGCAACGTTATTATTAAAAACGTAGACCATTATATATATTTGGGTCATAAAATCAAGCTGGGTAAGGAGAACCAAAATACGGAGATCAAACGCAGGATCCATTTGGCATGGGTAGCATTTGGAAATATGAGCGATATTTTCAAGGATAAATAGGTGCCCATCAACCTAAAGAAAAAGGCTTACGACAGCTGCATTCTACCTGTGCTTACGTATGGCTTAGAGACTATGGAAAGAATCGTGTTGGGAGTCACCATTAGGGAAAAAATACGGAACACCCATATACGTTAAAAAACAAAATTAATAGATGTTGTTAAACAGGATCCCGACCGATGGCCCCAAAGAGTCATCCTATGGAGACCTAGGGAAACAACAAGAAGTGTGGGCCGACCAAAAAAAAGATGGGTCGATGACGTCAGGGCAGTGGCGGGAAGACAATAGATAAGATTGGATAGAGATCGCGAAGCGTGTAAAAACCTAGAAGAGGCCTATATCCAACACTGGATGGAACCAGGCTGAGAAAGAGAAGAGGAGATGATGAATATCTAAAATACCAGGTTGAAATAATGCCATTACCACTAAAAAAATTATATATTATACGTTATTAATATTCAGAGTTTAAAATAGTGCGCGGGCAGGTGACAGCGTTCAGCGATGAATTAGACGAATCAGATCGTTTTATTTGGTGCGTGCGCACGAAAATCCTGTTGAAGAAAAAGGATTGACTTATAGACTATCTATAGTCTATTATATAAACTATCCACTGCCGAGTTTGGTTCCAATCTACCCATAATTAAGAAAAATATCCTGACGATTTTGTCCATTTAGAGACATCGGTTCGAAACGTCGAGGGCGTCATCCTGTAGCCCGTCCCCAATTATACCAAAATTTTCTTCAATATCAAATCCTTAGTCCAGTCTGGATAAAGATCTAAAGGAAAGGTCGTATCCAACTTTGCAGGGTGTTGGTCACGATCAGACATCAAATTTTGACGTTTCTTACGTCAAAACTAACTGTCACAGTGACACGTGTCGTACACAATCAAGTTGTCCTTGGTTCAATCAATCGACATACCAAATTTTATTTAAATCAGACGATTTTTTAAGCCCTAGGCTGTCCTTATCACTTTTCTTCTCGCATGCCGTATTACGGCTTTTTTACTCTCAGCGCGCCAAGAATATTGGATATTATTAATACTAATAATATAAACGAATCAACTAAAAGACAACCACTGCTATGATTAACCTATTGTTTTTTCATAAACGAATATAAAAAATATCAAAAATACATACTTTATCTAATACGGAGCGTCAGCCAAGAAAAAGAAAAACGAACGGTGTCCCGCCTTAACTAAGTGTGAAGCCTAGGCAAGAATTACCATCAATATTATTATCGCCAAGAATACTAACTAGGCCTAGGCGAGAATTATCGTCAATAATAATACTTATAATATAACATAATCATTTGACAATAAATATACTACAGTTCTTGTCCAAAAAAGTATTCTGTTCTATTTTTGGCGAAAAATACTGCTTACAGTCGGCCATCCTGGCTCAAAGAGGTTTCCATTCCACTGGCTTAACTAGGAACCTTGGTAGTCATGCTCACGTAGTCACACCTGTCCTTTTGGTAGCCATGCTCACGCAGTCATTGCCTGCTAACTATTACCGTTTTGGTAGCCAATGCACTAGATGATACTCAGCCCAAGCACATGAACAACTTACCGTGTTCTAAAAGAAATGTTAACGTTAGTAATATTAATTAGTTAATGTTAGTAAACCGACTGTTAACCCAACTTCGGAAAACAGTTACATCGAGATTCATTTAAATAGGATTTGATAAAATTAGTGGTTCTTGGGTAGGTACCGTTGTCTGTTAACGCAAATGAGTTTAGCCGATGATCATCCACCAAGTGGATAAAAGATCATCAAAATAGACTGTCATTTGAGGAAGTCTCATGTCGAAAGAAGATTTTCCTTGATTTAGGTAAAAACAATCTTCGGATTGTCATGGGTTTCTAACAGGACACTGTCTCCTCAACGAACACCTCAGTAGATTGAAGCCGAGAAACAACGGCGAACGCAAATTCTGTGGGGAAAATGGGGAAACACCAGAACACCTTATTACTGAGTGCACCGAAACCGTTCGTGCTATATAAACTCTGGTACCGCTGATGTCGAAGATGGAGAGCCGGCCTCTGTGGAGCGGTCTTAGATACTGGCTTTTATCAAAACCCTGTGAGTGTATGATGAGTTTATAACCCGTTATAACTCAAGAATTCGAAAAACACACTAGATCTGTAGGGTCGCGATTATTAACCCCCTCTTAAATATTCTACATTCTACATCATGTGGAAAACATGTTTAACTTTCGTTCATTTTTTCATTCCCTAATGGTAATTCGGGGAATTCAAGATAATAACTATCTCTTCCAAAAGTTACATAAAATTTGTCTCGAGGAATGTATAATTTTAATCGGGAAATCGGTCTATGCGCGGCACGGAAGTACTTTAAACGATAAATAACACATTTTCAGCTATGTTTTCGGTCACGACGTTAAGCCTAGAGCGTGAAACAGGCCTTAGCCGGGACAAAAACACAAGAACGATATGTTCCGTCGAGCATATCGCCGAACGAGATCTGAACCGCGCCGTGTCCGATCTGAAAAAAGTCGAAAACCACTTTAAATATGGTCATCGAGAGATCAAAGTTGGCCGAGACGGTAGTCCGGCGACGTTCTATTGTTTCTGGGGTCGACTCGAGTGGGCGGTTGCTAGGGATGGTCAGAATGCATCGACATTTCAAAATATTGGTCTTGTAATCAAACATAATAATAATAATAGCTCCTGTATATATCGTTTAACGCCTTGTGGGAGTAGCAAGATACAGCTTGCCATGCTAGAACCGTTCGGTATACAAGGAAAGTAATGTGGCTAGCACTACGCTTTAACCGCCTATTATTATTAACTCAGGATTGTGAATCCCAAGTACTCATTTAAGGCTGAGTCGACCTAGGTACCCAAACTATTTTAATTTTAATAAAAATAGTCGGCTGATGAAATGCCGGGTGTAGGATTCGAACCCACTACTTTAAGATTGGTAGACGAGAGCCTGTACCTCTACGCCACCGGGCACCGTAATCAAACATATGATAGCAAAATTCAACATTTTTTAATTACTAAAATTACTGTTAAGCTTCATTCAGAACCTCGCAATTAGTGGAATAAATTAGTGGTTTCAATTACACTTTTATATTTTTAGTTTACGATCATTCACAATGTCTAAAAACTCAATTAAAATTAATAGAATATCCTGGCAACAGCTTGCGGTTGTCAGTTGTATCCATAGAGAGAGCCTAATATTTAGCTTACTAAACAATCAACTTTTGATTTCTAACCACAATTTCTCTTGACGGATGATAACCAAAGACCAAAATGACATTCATCACAAATTTTGAAGTATAATTAGTGGGAAAGTTAAAAGTTTGTTAACTTTTCTACTAATTGAAAATGACCACTAATTTTGATGTTCTGAATGCTTACATTGAAACTAAAGGAACAAACTTCTATACGCTAGTTGAAACCACTAGTTTATTCCACTAAGTGCGATTTTCTGAATGAAGCTTTATTCTCAACTTTAGGCTTGATACGACGTTATACGCCAGCAAAAATAGCAGTGAATAGAAACTGATCGAACTGCTGCAAAAATAATAATTAAGAATATTAAGAAGGCAAACAAGGAGGCTCGACTGAATATTAGCGATGAGCAAATACAAGACCAAGACCTGTGTCTTGATCTTGCAATTATTAACATTATAAAAAACGATATTTTGTTCGCTAGTATATGACATAAATTAGGATTGATTGACGTATTTTGTTGTTTTCAATCACTTCCTGTTTCACCGGAAATTACAACATTTTTTGACTTTCAAATGACACCCTCTATATTTTATTACTTTATTCGAAAGAAAATGGCACTCTGAATAAAAAAAAACAACGCTTAATTGTACAAAAAGCCAAAACAGCTTCATCGAGATAGCATTCACAAAACAAAAAGCACCATTATTTTTATATTTTCTGTCGAACGCAAATGAAAATACAACAAAAATAATTTATTCATATAATTTAACACAGATCTGCTTAACCAAGTGCATTAGGATTACTAACTCTGCCTGAAAACACAACAGTTCCACTCACTTTGTGAATTATGAAATATAAAAATGGCCTGTTAGCTAAGAAACGTGGTGGTGGACTTCTGTTGAGGAAAACGGAACCTAAAAGCAATAGAAATGTCATGTCAAGTTTATATTTTAAAAGAATGTTGTAAATAGAAGAGATACAATTTTATTAGTATAATATTGTGTACCTCCTGCTGCGCTGGCCACTGTACCTTCCTCATCAAGCCCAATTTCAGCTTTTTGAATAATCCTGGATACATACAAGTATTGGTCAAACATTCCTAACAAATATACAAATAATAAAACAAATATACAAATAATAAAAAAAAATGTCATACAATACAAATCAATTCAAAAAAAATTACGTCATAAAATTACAAATAAAACATATATGGACATTGCAGAACACAGGCAGAAAATTATACAAAAGGAAAACTGTAAATGGATAAAATCATGTTATATATCATAAAATCAAGAGTTATAAAATATTAAATATTAAATATTAAATACTAGACCTTTAACCAGTGTGTGAGATGATCAAAATTTTAAAATTCAAAATTGTTCATGATTAAACATCAACAAAAAAGTCGTTTACCGCATCTAGGGCTCTCTCCAGTAAGTATGATTTCAGAGCTTTGCGAAATGCGGGAAAGAATGAAAGTGACTTGATATTCGAAGGCAAATGATTGTACATTTTCTTGGCATTGTACTGTATTGAGCCCTTAACTAGTTCTGAGCTCGGGGTTGCTAGATAAATATTGTGCTCTGCATGCCTAAGTGGATAGTTGTGAGAAGGCCTTTTCGGAATAGAGAATATGTGCTTGCGGATTAAGCAAACGGATTCCAAAAATGAATAAGGAAGGAAGAGTCAGTATTTTCAAATTTTTAAAGAAATTCTGGCAGTGAGTTCTACTGTTTAGTCCCAATAATTATCGAACTGCTCTCTTTTGAAGTTTGAAAATACGATCAAATTTTGTCGCGCAGCAAGTACCCCAGAATGGAAGGGCGTAACGAAGATGCGACTCAAAAAGGGCATAATAGACCGAAGTCGCATTTTAAAGAGTTGTCCACAACAAGTCCTAAGAATCTCACAGAGTCCACGACGTCAATAGTGGTGTTATTAAGTACGAAAGGTTGTATAGTACCTTTATATGACAATACTTTAGTTTTTGAAAGGTTGAGGCATAGGAGATTAGAATCACACCAAGATTTAATGGTGCGTAAGTCACTGGATATAGTATTATATAGTGCCGTAACATCTGGGCCGCTCCAAGTGAAACTAGTATCGTCCGCAAAGAGGCAGATTTTACCGCTAATGTCTAGATTTGCAATGTCGTTGATAAACACCAGAGAGAGAGAGAGAGAGAGAGAAACAAAATAGACCAAACAAAATAAACACCAGAAACATTAATAGAATAACATATTATATTTCAACTTTTGACGTTTTTACATATGGTTTATGTATTTGAAATTGTAAACATTCCGACAATTTGACTTGAAATACCAAGTGTGTGGTACCAAATTTTTCATAAAAAATGCTTTTTTCAAATATGCTAGCGAACCACCTTCGTTCCTTTCAAAAATATTGGGATATGATTAAAAATACGATTTGGGCATCTTTTAACCGACCAGGATAAAAGACACGAAAACATTAAACGATCATGATGATTAAAAATTAATGTTTTTAACGTCATCATAAAATTCTAAATTTTCAAAGCAAATTTTCCTAAAACTCGACATCGTAAAATCCAAGAGACTTTTCCCTTTCCTTTCTTACGCGAAACTAGTCGAGTTTTCCTCGAGCAGGCGTTGAAAACTGACATCAGCGAAAAAATAAATCTATCGCATAGCCCATAAACGAGAACGAAGTTCTTATTAAAAATTCGTTGAGGAATTCATCCTCTGAAGGGTGGTTTCCACCCCGTTTCACCTCCTTCATCCTCCAGGTTGATGTTAATTAAAATTTATACACGAAAAAAACGTACGCCTCGGGGGTAAAAGTCGGCAGTGGAAAGAAAAGTTCCACTTTTTCTCAGGGTTTTCGCTCGGAAAATTGCTGTTGCCGGGAAAGGCAAACTTTCGGAGATGGATGGCCCGCTTTGAACGGGATCGTTTTAATCGAGGTTGATTTTCCCTTTAAAATTGCCCGAACATAGGCGTATAGACTTTGGAGCACGGTGGATGTGATTTTTGCACTTTTTGGCACATGTTCCGGCATTTTTTTAAGATGATAAATATTGCTGTAACGAAATAAATTAATTTTGACTATAATTTATTCTCTTATAAAGGTATTTATTTTAGTTTTTTTCTATTAAATATTAATCATCATCATTTTCAACTTATTCAACCATTTCCAATTATGTGTAGCCTCTCTCACATATTTAGATACCTACTCTCTTTGTAGTTGAACCCATTGTTGTCTATTGTTGGCAATGCGGGCCCAAGTTATCCCCGCGAATTTCCTTATGTCTCAAGTTTGGCCTTCCTAATTTTTGTGGTCCATTTGTTATCTGTCCTTCATACCAGGTGTCCTGCCAATTGCCACTTGAAGGATTTGATTCTGTGGATGACATCTATATTACCTGGGTCGTTTGTCGTGTCCACTGTAATTATTCTTTTGCGGTCTCTCTTGGTTGTTCTCAGCATATTTCGTTCCATTGAGCGTTGTCCGACCTGTAGTTTCCTTATAATGTCCGTTTTAAGTGTCCAGGTTTCGCATGCATATATATATTCATGTATTATTTACTATAAATTGACTTGCTTAATATTTGTTTCTGACTATTAATACTATAATTAATACTATTAATTAATGAAAGTTAATATGTTTGTTTACTGTATTTACATCTAGTACTGGATTTGCTAGACCAAAAAATCTTCTTACTCAATACCAATGTTTAATTGTTTAATATAATATTAATTTGTTAAAAAAAGTAGCGATTGGTGGAATTTAATATTTTTTATAAACTGAAGTTGTATCCGGAAGATTTAAGTATGAACGACGTTCGCGACGTTTCTAAACTAGTTATCTAAATTGGCGCAGTCGTCAGGGATTTTTTTTCTATTTATATATATTTTTTTTCTCTTTGCAGTTTTCAGTTAAAAAACATAATTTCTTTATAATATGACAACATAGATAGTAGATTAAATTTACAAGAAAGAAAATCGGTTATTTTGGACTTATTTGAAAAACGAAGAGAAAATATATTTCTTTTATCGAGATCTACCAGCCCTGAAAATATTTGCACTTATTTAAGACTCACCCTGTATACAGTACGTCTGTCCGTTCTGTAGCTACGGGGTATCCGTGAGAGGGAAACGGTATTCTCTCGATGTTTTTCGTAAAAAATTAGACGACGCGTCCTATCAATAAGAATTCGACAAATTTGCAAGTGGCCAATAAAATGAGTGGGAGGAGCGATTTGCGGTGACGTACTCGTCAAGTCGACGTATAAAATATATTGCTGATTATTTAAATGTTTTTTGTCCGCATTCCTTTCATAGACATAGATCCAGCAGACGTACTGTAGTTAATAAGAAAATTAGTAATACAACAAAATTAATATTAACATTTAAAAATTAGGTACTTGAATAATTAAATCCTGATTGTCTTGACTTGGGGTAATTATATTGATTTAAGTCATTTTACTAACTTAACTTGCAAATAATCTTGATTTAAGCCAAAAATATAGACTTAATTCGTAAAAACGACTTAAATAACGTTAAATTGATTTAAGTCTTTACAAAAATGACTTACCTTGAAATAAAATGATTTAGGTCAAAGATTTAAGACTTAAATCATTTATACTTTATGTTGAAATTGACTTAAGATTTAAATCATTTTGATTTCATAAATAACTTGGGACTTAAGATTTAACTCTTTTTAAAACTGACTTGTTGCAGATTGGTTTATATTGGTTGGTGTGAATTTTAAGTAACCTATATTTTTCTGCGATTGTGTTCAGATTAATTTTCTCATGACTGACTATTTAATAATTTGATATTCTTTTATTAAAAAGCTAAATTTTCTTTTGATATTGCTTTGGAAAAACATCCCTTGCTTGCTGATTGACGAACTGCACCATCATTGAACAAAAATTAGTTATCGGGAAATCCCGGTTCTTAAGAGGCGTGGTAACGCAATTTCCGGTTCCGGAAAACAGCTTCGGTTCCGAAAATCCTGGTTAAAGAGAGGATTAAATTAAAATAAAATCATATTAAATGTAATAATAAAATCATAGCTCCCATAGATTACTGCCAGGAGATAATATTTTACATCTTAATTAATAGATACAACGATTTCAGCATAAAAATAATGCCTTGAGTTGATTGAAATAATATTAATGTTCTACTGTTAAAGGAAGAACAATAGTTAAGCTGAAAACAAGAAACAACATAATACAAAAATTATGCGGAACACCTTGGGGTGCTTCAACTTCTACTCTACGCTCGTCAGTTCTGGGTCCCGTCTACTCAGCTATCGAATACTGTGCTCCGGTATGACTCAATGGTCCACATGTCCACAAAATAGACGCACAGCTCAATAATACAATGAGAATGATCGCTGGTGTTATTAAATCCACACTCACAGAATGGCTTCCAGTACTGAGTCACATCCCACCCCCAAGTCTGCGCCGCATAAACGCTCTGTACAGAGAGTTTAACAAGATATTGGACAACAGAGAACTACCGATTCATTCAGACATCGAGGATGCTAACCACAACCGCACTAAAGGATGCTACCAAGTCCGCACTAAATGCAATTGAAAACGAATGGAACATCACCGACGTTTGGTATCAGGATGGACGTCGAAACAAAAGAGTGACAGGCCATGCATCACCAACTCATAAACTCATCACCAGGTTTCGACTTACCAAGGGAAACCTGGTGCACGCTAAACAGAATTAGAACGCAGCATGTCAGATGCGTCTATATTTTACACAAATGGGACAAGAGTCCAAACCCCTGCGAGTGCGCCAAAAATCAAACCGTCAAACATATCGTGGAGGAATGCCCTGAAACGGATTATAACGGCAAACCAGAAGATTTCCTATTGGCAACTGCAGAATCAATAGATTATATAAAGTTGAACATTTAACTTTTTTGTTTATATTTTTTTTCTTTTTGTCATATACGTACTTTGTGTCTTAATATCATCATCATCATCATCATCATCAACCAGCCACTAAAGTCCACTGCTGGACGTAGGTCTCCCTCGTTTGCTTCCATAACTCCCTATCTTGAGCTATTTGCATTCCATACGCCTTA